ATCAGTAATACACAGTCTAAGGTTAAAATTTTGGGGGTTTGGGAAAGAAACCAGAGTCAGGTAGTGTATTCCAGACATTGACCACTCTTGCTGAAGTCGTATTTTCTGCAATCAAGTTTGATGCAGTTTACCTTGAGTTTGTATCTATTGTGTGCTCTTGTATTGCTATGGTTGAAGCTATGGTTGTATCTATTGTGTGCTCTTGTGTTGCTATGGTTGAAGCTGAAATATTCATTGGCAGGTAGGACCTTGTAGTAGATAATTTTATATACTATACATAGATCGGACTGAAGGTAGCATAGTTCTAGGTTGTTTAGGTCTAAAATTTCAAGTCTGGTGGCATAAGGTATTCTGCTACGAGTAGAGGAGTGGAAAACTTGTGAAATATTTCTGGACTTTCTCAATTGTATTAATATCCAATATGTAATGCGGATTCCAGATTGATGAGCTGTATTCAAGTATTGATCTAACAAATGTTTTGTATGCTCTAGTTAGTAGTGTGATATTACTGGAGAAAAAGCTATGCAGGATTAGGTTAACAACTCTTAATGCCTTTTTTGGCTATGTAGTTACAATGGGCTCTAGCACTTAGATCATTAGAGATGAGTACTCCAAGGTCCTTGACATAGTTGGGGTCATCAACAAGGTCTTGACAATTCAGCTTGTATTTTATTTTCTGATTTTTTTTTGCCGATATGTAAGACAGAGCATTTGTTTGTTGAGATTTGAAGTTGCCATTTGTTTGACCATTCTGACACATAGTCGAGGTCTTTTTGAAGGGTAGCAGTATTGTCAGTGGTGTTGAATAGCTTTACATCATCAGCAAAAAGAACACAGTTGCTCTTAATATGATCACAGAGGTCATTTATGTAGAGTATAAAGAGAGTTGGTCCTAGAATGCTACCTTGGGGGACACCGCTACCTTGGGGGAACGCTACCTTGTGGTGTTCCCTATTTTGACCATTTGTTGCCTGTTTGACAGGAATGCATCTATCCAGTTATGCAGGTGTCTGGAGATACCATAATATTTTAATTTTAGGAGTAGTTTGTCGTGTACCATTGAATCAAAGGCTTTACAGAAGTCTATGTAAATAGCATCAATTGCTTTGCCCTAATCAAGTTGTGTAGTCCAGTGGTCCCCAACCTTTTTTATGCCGCGACCCGGTACCGGCATCAGCTGGGCGCCGCCATCTTGTTTTGATGAAAAAGTGCTTCCGGTGAGCTTTCTACCCGGAAAAGCTCACCGGAAGCACTTTTTCATCAAAACAAGATGGCGGCGCCCAGCAAACCAGCTGCCCGGTAGGATTTGTTCCGCGGACCGGTACCGGTCCGTGGACCGGTAGTTGGGGACCCCTGGTGTAGTCCATATGTTTTTGCAGTGTAGGAGTTGCAGATTACAGGATAATTTTTTTCTGAAACCAAATTGTTAGAGAGTAGGTTGTTTGTCTCTAAGTGGAGAATAATGGATTGGTTAATAATTGATTCCAACTTTACAGGTGACACAACGTAAAGAAATTGGTCTGTAATTTTCAATTAGGCTGAGGTCTCCCTTTTTGAAGATGGGGATGACTGTGGCTAGGGACCATAGGTTTGGCAAGGAGCTGGTGCTGAAAGATTTTTCAAAGATTATACTTAAAGGTTCTGCTATGGCAGTGGATAGCTTTTTTAAGAAGTAGGCATATATCCGTCCGGTCCGATAGATAGAGATGGTTTTAGATTGCGTAGTGCTTTTTCAACATTATCTTCTATAAAATCGATATGTATTAGGTCATTGGTCTGTGGTTCGACTAGGAAATATTGGGCATGATCCATTGCTGTTTACAAAAAGTCAAAGAATGTGTTAAAGAGGTTGGCTTTAATGATGTCATCATTACAGTCTTTACCGTTAGCTCCTTTCAGGGATAGACCTTGAGTCTTTAAGTTTGTTGTTTACAAAATTGTAGAAACCGCGGGTGGAATTGGTGCATAGGTTTTCCTCTTGTTTAATGTGATAATTGGTGCATTCAATCTTTATCTTGTGCATACATTTTTGTATTGGCTTTTAAAATTGCCAACGTGACCAGATTTGTTTTTCTGCCAAAGGGATTTCTTTTTGGATTGGAGTTTCCTTATTGTTATGGGTAATTTGTTTTTTCTCGTTTTGGGAGTTGTTATTGGTACATATAGTCTGATGACATTTTGACTTCAAGTAAAAATATGTTGTAATGTCTTCGAAGTATTGCATCCAGTGAATAGAAGTTGCCAATCAAGAGATGCGAGACCATTGTTTATAAGATCATAGTTGCCTTTTCTAAAATTATAATTGGGTATCCCGTCGTTATGATGGTTTTTGTAAGGGTTTATGTTGAGACAAAAGTCATTCATGCTGTGGTCACTGTTGGAAAAGGGTTCTTTTATTTGTATTCCATAAATTGAATTCAAACTGTTGCAGAAGATGAGATCGAGGCAGTTGTTAAGTCTAGTGTCGTTGGTTACTAGTTGTTCCAGTCCCAGACTTGTTACAGCATTGTAGAAGGTTGCATGTATGGGTTCAGTTGTACATTCATTTAGGTCCAATTAATACGAGGTAGATTGAAGTCACCAAGAAAGATAAATGTGTGTGGGCAGGAGTTTGCCCATGTTAGTAGTGAATGTAACTTGTTTACATGTTTGATGTCATAATCAGGGGCTCTGTAACATAGTAAGAATCAAAATGTGATGTTTAAGGACAGTTCACAGATGATGGTCTCAGGAAGAGCAAGCTCCTAGGTAACTTGGATGTTTTTTAGATGTAGGGGCTTTTTATAGAAGATAGCAACACCACCCCCTCTACAGATTTCACAATCTGATCGGGAAACGTGATAGTCTCTTCCTGTGGTAATGGAGTCAGGGAGAAGATGTGTTAAGCCATGTTTCCCAGACAAATATGATGTTGAATTTAGCCATATTTAATAAGAGGAGAAATTCAGGTATTTTATATACAAGGCTTCTTGCATTGAGTAGCTTGCATGTAAGGCCAGTTGTAGTTGGAATTGAGGTAGTTAGGGGCGTGCGTGCCTAGTTTTGGGTGATGGTGGATTGGATGATATAGGGTTGGATGCTGAATTGTGGGTTGTGTGACTTACTTTTGATACAATCAGCACGGTAGTCAATGTATAGGTCCTTCTCTCCATTGTCTAGACGTTTTTTGAGTTCTGTGCGGAGATCACGGGAACAGATTCTTTGCAGTATGGGTAAGTCTGGTTGTGAGCGAAGTTTGTTATGGGTGGGATTGGTTTTAGCAATGGTGTTTATTGTATGAATGAATGCTGGACTCATTTTTGCAAACAACTCTACAAAATCTTGGGGCCACTGAGCCATCATTGTATTTGAACTCAGGGCCATCTCTGGTTATTTCAATGGTATCTTCAGGAGAAATGTTTGTTGTATTGGAGTTGCTTATGTTGTTGAGAACTTTGGTGATATCATCTGATTCGTTGATGTCTTCAAGACCAAATAAAATGGCATTTGGATGTTTCTGATCACGTTCCATGTTGTCTCTGATGAGTAAGGGGATATCATTTGTGGTATTATTTGATGGGATAGTGATTATTTGTGGCTGTGGTTTGGTGGTTATTTTTGGTTATAGTTGTGATTGTAGTTGTGGTAGTGGTTGTTGAGTTGAGATTTGATTTTGAGCTGTTAGGTATTTGCTTATCTGTGCTGTGTTTTTTTTCAAGAGAGATTAGGCTTCCTTGTTTCAAAACGTGTTACTAAGCATTCTATTGAGTGAATGGATGATTCTATATTTTCAACTTTATCAGACAGAGTACTTAATTGGTTTAGCTTAGGTAAACATGATGGACATAGACAAGGAAATGTATATGATGTTTTTAGGAGATTGACTAGGTTTTTGGTTAAGTTTAAACAGGTGAGGTGGGCTTGATTGTCACATAGGTGGCATTTAATGTTATTTTTGCTTTCATTGATGGTTTCAAAACATTTGAAGCATATGCAGGAGACTGGGAGTTCATTGGTAGAGATATTCTTTTATTGATGTTTGGTAATGGAGGGTTTGGACTTTTTGGCTGGCATGGTCAATGACAATAGTACACTAACAATTACAATAGCTAATTAATATGGTAGGTAGACAGTTACTTAATGAATGTTAGTAATTAATAAATATTGATAAGTAAGGTTAATTACTTCTAAAAAATCAATCAATCAACTAGATAATCAATGATACAGTATTAAATCACTATCAATCAACAAATCAGTAATTAGTGGTCATTTAACAATTAATTATACTATTAAATGATAAATCAATTATTTTAGACAAAGCATTATCTGTTAATAATAGGTCTTGAGGTAATGAAATAATGGAGATAATGAAGTATTGGAGGTTGGTAGTTAAAAGTTACTTGATTCCATATCCAAGGTATGGCTTTTTAGGTGCAATTCTTCCATGAAGACCACTTCTGGACAGACTTCTCCAGACAGTAGATCAATGTACTTGGGTCTCATTGGTTTCTGCTAGCTGTGTGCTGATGGCACTGCTAGACATCTTCCAATGTCAAAGGGAATGATGAGCATGATGTGTCTATTATCTGTTGCATTAAGTTTCCTTGGCTGACCACTGTGTCTATGGTCCTCAGTTTTGCCCATTTCTTTGTTTCTTCAAAAGAGCCTGAACAGCACATCTTGAAACCCCAGTCTGCTTTGCAATCTTTGCCTGGGAGAGACCTTGCTGATGCAGTATTACCTTCTGTCTTGTCCTATTCTCAGTTTTGCCATAGTGTACGACCTATGACACGAAACTGTCTTCCACAACCTCACCTTAGTAGCAGAGTTTGGTTGTGCCTCACCCAGTTTTAAGCTTTTAAGCTGTTTGTTTCAATTAGCGACTGTCTTTCAATCTACATATAAAATTGATGCTAATTAGCTCCTGCTTGGTATAATTGGTTAATCCCAAACTTGACTCTAATCCTACAAAATCCCTGACTTTGTGCAAGTGTAAGAAATGATGCTGTTTTGAAGGCAAAAGGTGGTCACCCCAAATATTGATTTGATTTGGATTTCTCTTTTGTCCATTTACTTTCCATTTTCTTAATTGATAAAAATAAACGATTAACACTTATATTTTTAAAATCTTAATGTACAGCATTTTTGCACATCTGCCTAAAACTTTGTACAGGACTGTACATATAGCTATATATATGGGCTGATACCAATGGAACTAATAGACATCAGGATTTCTGCATATTAAAAAAATGAAAGTTCTAAACGTGAACCAAAGCTTTCTTCTGAGAGAAGTTCTTATTTGTGACATTTTCTCTTGTTTTCTTCTCATATGCTTCCTGTGATTGGTATTCTTTGGTCATCTTCTAGGAGCTGCTCTTGAGGGTGATAAAGATTAGGCCCAAATAGTGTTATTTCTAAATGCAATGAGATTTTCTAGAATAAATGGTGAAAAAGAATGAAATTTATTAATTAATTTGGTTTTGTTATGAAAAAACGTGATTCTACTTTATAAAAAATAATTAAGGAATCTCATAGATAACATTACTGTCTTAATAATTTTATCAACGTTTAAAAATTGCATAGTCATCTCAAATCATTCAATCTCTAAAACTTCGTTCTCATCTTTGTCTATGCCTTAAAGGGAGTACTTGAAATCCCTGGAAGTCAATACTTCTAAATGCTGAATGGGACTGTTTCCAGAGCTTTGCCTGGACTCCTTTTCCCAATAGGTGGAAGATCTTCCTGTTTCTCCATGAGATGTTGCTCTTAGGTGCCCACTATGTTCTTGGAGTCTTTTTCCTTGAAAGCTGTATGATGCCAGTGGGTTATAACAGCTTCAGAGAATCAGAATGTTTCTAGGCCCAATCACTGATATCACTGGCCCTCGAAGGACCCCAGGGAAAATAAGTCTCCAAACAGATTCTAATACTAAACAGATATGTTCAAATTCACCACTGATTTGAACATGTACAGCACTACATAAATTCTAGCCCAAAAATGAGTAAGGGAGAGAGGACAAAAGAAGGGGAGAAATAGTTTGCAGCACACTACCTTTAATTTTTCCCCCATTACTGAGATAAACTACATAAGTTTGTATTTCTTAGGCTAATAGGCTGCTTCAACTGTATTCAGTTTTAAACAATGTATGCTTCATTTCTCATGATTAAAACAATACAAATTCCAAAAGACTGAAAGACATCATGTCTACCAAAGGTTTGTCCACCCTTGCAGTAGAGAAACTTACCTGGAAGTCACGGATGAAAGTCAGGAAAAAAATGATGAAAGTGAAAAGCAAAGACCATTCAGAGACTATGGCAATGATATGGAAGGTAAATCCCTGTAGAAGGTATTTTTAAAAAAATGTATTATGAGATGGTAGAATATCATCAGTCCTAACAGTGAGCTCAAGTAATGTATACCAATAATAAGCACAACAAAAGGGTTTTAACAATTAAAAACATGCAGGTTATGTTTCAAGGCCATTTTAAAAGCAGTCAAAAGGCCTTCAACATCTATAGGAGAATGACTAAAGGTTAAAGAGAGCATCACATTCTTTATGCCATTCCATTATGTATGTTTATGTACATTAAAAAGAAATCCCTAGTGTCTTCCAGATAGATGCTGCTTATGGAACTTGCCATTGATGGTGCTGTCTAGACCAATGGTTCCCAAACTTTTTCAGTCCACCGCCCCCTTGGTGCTACAAACTCATCCTCAGTGCCCCTACCCACCCAGGGGTGGGATTCAAATTTCTGTGGGTGTGGCCTAATTTGAGAGGGTGGCTTCTGGTCATGTGACTGGCTGGGCATGGCTTGCTGGTCACATGACCAGGTAGGTGTGGTTTGGTGGTCATGTGACTGGGTGGGCGTGGCCAGGTGACTGGCAAACCAAATATAAGTGGTCCTCACTTAATGGCTGGTTGTTGAGCAAGTGTTCTAATTTATGACTGGCCTCCCCAGAGCTACTTGACCTGTTTTTGGAGTTTTGACAGCCATGCACACACACACACACACACACTCCCTTCTAACCCTGATGGAGCAGGTCATTGGACTAGAATCGGCAAAGCATCTCTGATTAGATTCTAGTAGTGAATAGAATCTAATCAGAGATGCTTTGCTGATTCTTGTTGATTTGTTTTATTTGTATTTATTTTATGTTGCTGAATTGCATTGACATGTGTGTCCCTTCTAGTGCACAGCCAAGCTTCTTTGTGCACAGCCTTCTAGTGCACAGCCAAGCTTCTTTGCAGCAAAAATTACCAACCTCTGGCTTTGCTCTACTTTTCAATGGTGCCGCCACTGTCGCATTCTAGGTGCCGGCCCAGCAGGTCCACCTCATTGAGCCTGCTGCACCGGAGGGACCTACCCAAGCAAGTCCGAGTGGAGTGGTAAGGAAAGGGTGCAAGCCATTTCCCTCCCACCCATGCCCCCTAACCTCAATTGTGCCTCCATGCATGCGCGCCCCTTGCCAAGCTACAGAAGGCTGCCAGGGTGGTGGTGTCCCAGACCCCTAAGGGGGTGGGTGGGTGGGTGCAGGGGTTTCCTTAATCCGGATTGTGACCGGGGAAAGGGTGCAAGCCTGTTCCATTTTCCCCACACCCACCTACCCTCTCCCCAATTTTCCCGACTTGGGGAAAAAACCAGCGCTGCTTTCCCTCCCCCCACCGTTGGTCTGTTCCCGTGCACAGGCCCACGCGCTCCCGCTCACCCATCCACTTTGCACCAACAGGGTATCCTTCCCCCCGCCTCCTCCCTTCACTCCCGCCCTCCACCGCGCAGGCACTCTTCTCTGTTCGTTGCACCTGCTCCTGCCCGGGGAGGCGCAGTACGCCCGGTCCTGCCGTTCATCCGTCCCATTAATCCCGGCATCGGCAGCAGACGAAGAAGGAATTCCAGCTGTAAAAGCACAGCTCGCTCCTCCCAGTGTCCAGCATTGCAACAATGCCGCTGCACGGGCGGGCTAACCGGTTGCTTCCCCCACCGCCATTTTGCACTGGCTGGAGCTGAGCGAGCAATGCTCCCAGCTCCTCTGCCACCACCTCCCCTGGTCAGCCACCCCTCCAGGATACCACCTCCTCCTCCGCCTCCTCCACCGTCTGAAGCCCCGGCCAGTAAGGCAGACCTGGCCAGCTGCAGTGAGGAGCTGGTGCACCATTTGAGCCGAGAGGAGGCTGAGAAGCTGGCAGCACTGGTGCAACGCAGCTGGCTGATCCAGAGTGTGCAGCAGCAGCTGCAGGAGCACCTGCGCAAGATCCACAAGCTGAAAGCCATCAATGGGCGGCTGTAGGCGGAGAACCACGAGCTGCGCGACCTCTGCTGCTTCCTGGATGAGGACCACCTGAAAGCTGGCCCGCCACTGGCAGCTCTTCAGGTATCACACTGCGCAAGTCCTGCGCTACAAGGTGCCGACGCCTCGAACACCCATCTGCTGCCTCTTAGCGCCCCCAAGGGGGCCGGCAGAGCGGTGTTTGAGGCGTCGGCACCGCAAGCTCACCCTATTGACTGTTGCACCATTCCAGAGCCGGCGCCTCGAATGCAACAGCACATTGGGAAAGTAGAGCAAAGCCGCTGCCACCGCATTTGAGGTACCGACTCTGGAGCAGTCCAACAGTCAGTGGGGTGAGCCTGCGGTGCTGATGCCTTGAACACCCCCCTGCCAGCCCCCTTGCCTCTTATTGCTCCCCTAAGGCATCCCACTGTCCCCAGGGGGTGGTACCACCGACTTTGGAAACCACTAGTCTAGACTCTAGAGCAGGGGTATCAAACTCGCGACATCACTTTGTCATCATGTATCATGCCTTTTTCCCCCTTTGCTAAACCAGGGGTGGGCGTGGTTGGTGTGTGATGCATCCAGCCCACAGGTAGCAAGTTTGACACCCCTGCTCTGGAGATTTTAAGAGCTGAAATTGGGAAAGACCTTAAAAATACAAAATATAACAAAAAAGGGGGAATAAGACAAATAATTACCTAATTCTCAATGGAAGTTATTAATGGTTATTAAACATGGTTTGTGTCTACACATACACACAAATACACAAACACAGTTTCTCCATATTTACAGGCATTATACTACTTGTTGAGGGTCAAAATAAAAGACCTTTTGTTCATGTCCTGTCTTTGAACTTCTCAATAACATCTAGGAATAAAACTTTGCCCTGATTCAGCAGAAAACCTTACTTTATTAAACTAGCTTTATTAAATATTAAAGAGGCTAGACGAGCTATCCTGGATATCTTTTAAATTGTAGTAATGACACCAACTGTTTATGTTTGTGTGTGCAGAACTAAGTATATATTTTGGGGAAACAATATATAAACAGTACAGTGCATTAAGAATATCTTGGAATGTTTTCTGCATGCACTTGACCCATTTCATTTGTGTCTTCTCTCTGTTGTCTTTTAAGAAAAACCAAACTTACTTTGTCCTGGGGATTCCAACGCTGCATCTTTAGGTAATCTATTCCAATTAAGCTGATTAAAATGAATGTACAAATAATCACTTTAATCATTAAGGAATATCTTTGAAATACAAAGGAAATAACTTTATGCTCCATCCATTCTTATTCATCCCCATTTGCTTTTTTTAATTTAAAGGCTGTACACCCTAGAAGTTTTAAGAAGGGATGGTGTAATCCTTAGTTTAAATTATTTTTAAAGTTATGTCTAGTTTGCCCCATCCTTTTGAAATGTGCCAACAATGCAGCAAATGACCCATCTGAAGGCCAGTCAGTAAAATATACAATCATGGCATTTCACTCATCTAGAAAATTGTTAAAGATCAGGGGATTCTCATAGACCCATGAGATATGGATTAAGAGGATGCAATTGAGAAAATAATCAACAGTAATCAGGGATTCTAACAGTAATACAAATCTTAAAAATTAATATCTATCTATCTAGACAGGTAGGTAGGTATAGGTATAGATATATTGTATATAATATAAAATGATATATAAATTACGGGTAAAGTTTTACCTATTCTTGTAAAATACTCATTATGAAATCCTTTTCACAATGAACACTTGTAACATGAATGAAATAAATATGAACACAATGAATATTAACAAATTATGCCATAAACTTTTTAAGATTCAAATACATGTAATCACGTGCAAATACATGTAATCAAATATTATCCTGGGAAAAATACATTCATAAGGGTAATAAATAATGAAGCTAAGTGAAACTCATGATAGTGATAAAAAATTGCTGATCAGAGTCACTTTGATATTAAGATCGGCAGTTTATATATTTAGTTATATAAATAAATAATAATAAATAATTTTTTTTAAAAAAATCATACTACAGTTGTGCTCCTGAGTTTACATACCCTGGCAGAATTTATGATTTCTTGGCCATTTTTCAGAGGATATGAATGATAACACAAAAACTTTTCTTTCACTCATGGTTAGTGGTTGGCTGAAGCCATCCATTTATTATCAATCAACTGTATTTAAATTTTTTAAATATTTTAAAATCATGACAACAGAAACTTCCCAAATGACCCTGATCAAAAGTTTACATACCCTGGTGATTTTTTATGTACACAGGTTGGCACAAAGGGGTTTGAATGGCTATTAAAGGTAACCATTCTCACCTGTGATCTGTTTGCTTGTAATTAGTGTGTGTGTATAAAAGGTCAATGAGTTCCTAGACTCCTGACAGACCCTTGCATCTTTCATCCAATGCTGCACTGACGTTTCTGGCTTCTGAGTTATGGGGAAAGCAAAAGAATTGTCAAAGGATCTGTGGGAAAAGGTAGTTGAACTGTATAAAACAGGAAAGGGATATAAAAAGATATCCAAGGAATTGAGAATACCAATCAGCAGTGTTCAAACACTACTCAAGAAGTGGAAAATGAGGGGTTCTGTTGAAATCAAACCATGGTCAGGTAGACCAATTAAAATTTCAGCCACAACTGCCAGGAAAATTGTTCAGGATGCAAAGAAAACCCACAAATAACTTCAGGTGAAATACAGGACTCTCTGAAAACATGTGTTGTGGCTGTTCCAAGGTGCACAATGAGGCGGCACTGGAAGAAAGATGGGCTGCATGGTCGAGTCGCCAGAAGAAAGCCATTACTACGCAAATGCCACAAAGTATCCTGCTGACAATACGCCAAACAGCCCAGAGACAAGCCTCAGACCTTCTGGCACAGTCATTTGGAGTGATGAGACCAAAATTGAGCTTTTTGGCCACAACCATAAACGCTACATTGGAAGAGGAGTCAACAAAGGTCTATGATGAAAAGTACGCCATTCCTACTGTGAAATACGGAGGTGGATTGTTGATGTTTTGGGGATGTGTGAGCTACAAAGGCACAGGAAATTTGGTCAGAATTGATGGCAAGATGAATGCAGTTTGTTATCAAAAGATACTGGAGGAAAATTTGCATTCATCAGCCCAGAAGCTGTGCATGGGACGTACTTGGACATTCCAACATGACAATGATCCTAAACACAAGGCCAAGTCGACCTGTCATTGGCTACAGCAGAATAAAGTGACGGTTCTGGAGTGGCCATCTCAGTCTCCTGACCTCAATATCATTGAGCCACTCTGGGGAGATCTCAAACGTGCAGTTCATGCAAGACAGCCCAAGAATTTACAGGAACTGGAGTTTTTTTGCCAGGAAGAATGGGCAGCTTTACCATTTGAGAAGATAAAGAGCTCATCCACACATACCACAAAAGACTTCAAGCTGTCACTGATGTTAAAGGGGGCAATACACCGTATTAAGAACTGGGGTATGTAAACTTTTGATCAGGGTCATTTGGGAAGTTTCTGTTGCCATTATGTTTTTAAAAAAGAGTAAACACAGTTGGTTGATAAATGGCTTCAGCCAACCAATAACCATGAGTGAAAGAAAAGTGTTCGTGTTGTCATTCATATTCTCTGAAAAATGGCCAAGAAATCATAAATTCTGTCAGGGTATGTAAACTTATGAACACAACTGTATGCAGTATGTGTTAGTTTTGCAATATAAAATTATGTTATCCCGGCAGGCCAGGGGCTGGATGGGTCATGTGCAAGCCATGGCTCTGCAAAGGCAAAAAGCATCACAATATATAAGTCATGTGACGCTTGTTTTTGTTGCAATGGTCTAATTATTTATTATTATTATTTCTCTGGGAAACATATTTTGTGATCTTTTATAGTACTGTTATAACAAGTAGTCATTTTAGCCGCCTGAAGATAAAGCATGTTTCATTTAAAATAAACTTTTAAGAAATACCCCACATTCATCACTTGCACTGGTTTACCACAAAGGATACTACTCACTAGGTTTACTATGCCCCATAGCAGTATTGTAAATCTGATCCAAAAAATATCCTTCCCATGAATTTGTGGTTGCATCTTATAGGAAATAATTGTCTGAACCAGAAAATATATGATTCCAATTCCAAATACGAGAAAAGCTCCAACTGTATGTATGACATATATAACATTTTTCTACAGGAAGATAACATAATTCAATAGTTATTAGAGAATACCGGGGTAATACTTGAAAGGGTCAAACAATATGACAAAACTGAATCTTTGAAAAGAATCTCTCAAAATTACCAGAACTTTGGCTCAATAACAAATACTTTGGCTCAATAACAAATCTACAAACCACTATAAAAACCTAGAGATCTATAATTATTGTAAGTTCATTATTTCTAATTAAGAACAATATTGTAATGGTATTTTATGGTATAAAGGAACTAAAACACAGGGGTACTTTAGAAGACATTATATACGTGAATCTCTGTGATTAAATTGGGAGAAGATTAAAAGACAATGTTATTTGAAAATTCCAGTCTGGCTATCGACTACTGAAGCATTTTCTTATCCTATAATATACAAAAAGGAACAAACAGTTAGATATGGTGAAATATTGAATGAAAAGGGTGAACTTAAATCTATACAAAAACTAGAGGAATAAGGTATAAAGATGAATTGGTTTTCATATGCGCAAATACATTCAAGGTATGATAAAGATTCTAAAACAGAAGGTTTCTATGATAAATTGACTGACTTAGATAAGATTTTGACAGGTACTGATGAAAAGGTGATTAAAAAATTGTATGGATATTTATTAGAAATTAAACTAGAAGAAGAACAAGTTAAAGAAACTATGATTGCTTGGGGGAAGAATTTTGGATATGGGACTGATCTAGAGAAATGGCAAAAATTGTGGTCTCAAAATTATAAAATGACAATGTCAACAGCATATAAAGAAAATTTGTATAAGATGTTTTACAGGTGGCACTTTCCCCCGACAAGAATAGCAAGAATGTTCAATAATAAATCCTAAAAATGTTGGAAATGTCATCAGATACCTGTCTCGTATTACCATATGTGGTGGACTTGTGCGGATGCTAAAAAATACTGGACTAAAATCCACACATGGTTGGAAAAAAATGACAAAAAAGCATATAGATTTGAAACCAGAAATATTTTTATAGGGAATTTTACCTGAAATATGTAGTAAAGATTTGAAATACCTGATTGTAAATGTATTAACAGCGGCTAGGATTGTATTTGCTAAAAACTGGAACAATGAGAAAATACCATCACAGGAGGAAATCATTAAGAAAATATTGGAATGTGCTGAAATGAGTAGATTGACATTTGAAATTAGAGAACAAGATGATAAACAATTTTATAAAATTTCTATCAATGGTTAGACAATAAAATATAGTAATGAAATATGTAGACTTTTAGAAAACACTAAATATATAAAGATGTATTCTTTTCTTATTATATCTACAAAATGATTCTAGGATAGATTTGGGATGATAATATGAACTGTCATAAAACAAATTAAGTAAAATATGATTATTTTGTAAAGCATGAATGAATAAAAGTATAGTCAAATGATTAATAATGATATTAATGTATTTAATATTTGATTGAAAATATGAGATTATATACAATGTAATTGTAATTGAAGACTACGAAATGGAAGCACAAAACAATTTGTAAATCAACCGGCACA